TTTTTGCAGCCATTTTATAAAATGCCTAAACATTAGTAAATGCCAGTTTAAAAAAAAATCTTATTTTTATATCACTGAAAATTACTTAAAATTGGTTAAATATTTTAAGTTACACTAAAAACTCTACATGGAGCTTGTAATAATATAAACTCTGGATATTAGAATATTAAATCCTACCAGACTGCCAAATTTACAGTGAAACACTCCAAGTTGTGTGAACTGTATTATTGGGGAGGGGGAAAAAAAACCCTCAAGATTTTTTTCATGTCTAGAAGGAGCCAATTATAGAAGAAGCTATTACCAGGATGCTGCTGGAGGAACAAATTGCTCACAAGTACTCTGCAAAGTGTTGTACTACAACTGTCAGGATATCTGATATGTTTTAGGATTATGTTTCACCTCTTCAAGGTGACAATATTTTGAGATGGCCTTCCAGAACTCCATACAAAGCTCTGTCAGGATAGTTCTCAGAACTATTAAGCCTCACAGTGTTTTAAGATGCTTTTGAATGGCAACCTTCCTTAGCATAGGCCAAATCCTCACCCACAGTCTGTTCTGAGTTTCCTAAATCAAACTTGTTTAGAAGATTCACAAGGAGCAATTTCCTGAATACATAGTGACACTATGAGAAAAAGGAGGTGGAAGTGTGTTATATCTGAACACCGGTGAGTTAAATCACCATGAAAGAGGAAGTTATTACCCAATACAATTATGTTTGAATAAGATATAATCTTTTTTTTTACATAATTAAACACACTTTTAGCACGTGGTTATTGCTTTCTGATGTATCACTGAAAACTGAGGCTGCTGGAACCTAGTTTTTTAGCAGACAAAATTGTGCCCTCCTCAATATCAAAGTAGAGCCCATTTAGAAATAAAATTTGAGAAAGGACTGATTTGATTTATCTCCTTAGTATTCCCCAGCATGCCTGCACACACACAGAAATAAAGACATTATCACAGCCAGACATAACTCATTAAAGAGAGCATGAATTCCTCTTGATTAATGACTAAAGGATCGGGCCTTAGGGTACTTTAAAAATGAATAAATTATACAGTTTATTAGGACATCCATTCATTCATTCTACAAGTACAAAAGTCATTTAAAAAGCCATCATTCATCCTAAAAAAACTCCTGACTTATATGCCAACTAACCTTTCAAACACCTAATATTTTAACACAGAAATCCTGAATAAAAAGTAGGTTATAAAGGATTAAGTCCAAAAACTATTTAACAAGAACATGTGTCTTTTAGTAAGTGTTCTTCCAATATCAAACCACTAACCACCAGTAATGGCCAATTTCATCTGAAGTTTTGACAAAGTTATCAATCTTTCACAGTCGTTGCAGAAGGAACTTACCCTCAGGAGACTTGGGCTCTGTGTTGGCTTTATTTTGCTTTGGCTTTTTTGTCTGCTTAAAACTTTTTGGTCCTCCCCTTCAGCGTGAACATCCTTGTTGTTACATGCACTGAAAAAGAATTAGAAACTCATTTCAGGCACTACACAAGGTATCATTCAGCTTCTATCCCAGCTGCCAGGAAGAAGAAAAATCACCTCTCACATTCCTTCTTCACAATAAACTCTCTCTTCCTCCAAATCTCCATGCTCTTTTTTTCACCATTCCTCTCAAGCTCACTTTTCACCTTAATCTTTCTAACTCCCCCCCAAATATCCTTCAAGCAAGACTTTCTTAAACCCTGCCCTTTCCACTTTCTCCAACACCAGTTTCCTCCCTGCTGCCTGTTCTCTTCTAACGTCCCAGGGACTCTGGGCCCCCCAGCTGTGGTTTACAGCAGAATCACACATTAATTGCCAAAAAGAATAAGCCCAGGTCAAAAGGAATGGGAAAAGAGAAAGACACCCTGTGTGCCTCATACATGCACAGGATGCACAGGTGAGCAGGGTAAGGGCAGGTACTACCTGCAGGTGCCCTTGGTACCAGTCCCTCTGCCTGTCACAGCTTGGTGAACTTCTCTGACACTCTGCCTTTCAGTCCTCAGCTTGGTTGCCACAGTTACAGCATAGCTGGTGCTTGGAGACACAATTCCCTCCTCCCTCTCCTCCCCCAGCAGAGAGGAAACAGCCCCTTTCAGTGTTGTGTCAAGTTGTGGTCAGGGAGATTCAGTTCTGGAACCAATGAGGAACTGTACAGGCTCCTTTTACCACTGAAAGTTATGAAAAATGAAATCTGAGATACCTGAGATATTATAACTTTTGCATGAAAGCACTGCACAGAGCTTCCAGAGCAGTAAAGGCTCTATATACCAAATTTTTCTTAAGAAGAATTGGAAAAAAAATAGTCAAGATTCAAAATCTTGACTGCAAACATCTCTACCACTTTTCCACCCTTCAGAATCAAACTCCCTGAAGATCTGAAAACAGCAGGTGGGATACTCCCAATTCCTCTAGGCCTGTATCCATTTGCCTCACAAATGGGAATTACAACCATCCAACATGATATCTGGCTTAGTCTCTTAATAGCTTACCCTCAAAAGGGGCCTTGTATGTGTTCTGCCAACACAGCAAGAGTTCAATTTTCAACCCTTTCCCATCATCTTTGCTACTTTTCATCCAATTTTCTGTGAGCTGTGAGAATGGCTGATATCCCTGAGATAACAGCACAGTTTTCCTTATATCTTGCCCTTATACCATCTACAAGTGGAACAATGTTGTTGGCCATTGTTCTTTAAACACAAGCCAGCAGTGCAGGGTACAGAACTAGCACTGCTGGTGCTGGTAATTGCTTGGCAAATGTGTGCTGTAACTCTCCAAATATGTCGGTGCTGGTTTGCAACATGAGTATTTTCCTTCTAATTGGAGCTGACACTGGCATGAAGACAAGCTCAATTAAGCAGCAGTTAAGAGTAACTACTGTTCCTCTGTGCACATCAACTCCGATGCTCGTATATGCATGCCCTTCAAAATTAAATGACTTATCTCTGCTGCCTGAGAAACATTAAAACCAGTTGTTTTGTATAAAAGAAGATTATATAATGATTTTTAGCAGAAGAGACAATTATGCATAGCAATATAATAATTTACTAAGACGTATGAGACTATCTTCAAAACTGCAGCTATGGCATGCTTGAAAACAGCCAGAAATTTAAAATCTCCAGTATACTTTAAACTCAGCTCCATTAAACTTTATAATGCCATTATCACTGAGTTGTCACACTGCAATTCTGCCAGTTAGTTTCCCCTATGCTACTTTTTTAAAGAGTATACAAACCAACAAATTTATTATGATATACCCTAGTGTACCAGGAATATCGATCCACTATGTACTTTAATAATATGAGAGATTAACACATTAAGAATTCGAGCAAAATACACTTGCCCTGACCATCCTTTTCTTGCAGGTATCTTGTGGTAGCCTTTTAGACCCTAGACTCCAAATGTGTGTTAATATGCAAATCTTACTCCCTCTGTCTACACAAATCCTGGTATCTGCAGAGAACATTGAAATCAGCACCTCAAAGACACTGAGCTCCAACGGTCTGATAAGTCGAACCCCTCATACTTCACCAAACCTCTTTTTGCAATAATTTCCAAATAAATATGCTATTTATTTGGTTGCCTTTAAAAAAATAATCATGAAACCATTAGCATTCAGTTTTGTAATACTCTCATAGGTGACACCAACTAATGATTAAACCAGCCACGAGAAACATGAATATTTAACTCATTTCTGATCGCAATTTACAGCATGAAAAATTCCGTGTAGCAGAAGCTGGGAATTCACTGAAGCCTCAGGCTTCACCATCATAATGGCTCCGGAGAGCAGCCAGGCCAAACCATGGTGTGATACACCTCACCGAGCATCCCTGCTGAGAACAGCCCCAGCCAAATGCTGGGACACTGCAGGAGCACTGCTTTTGCTGAAAACCCAGCTAAATTCTTAAAGAAATTACTCTTCACATGCCGCGTCTCCCCGAACAGGTTTGCCGCGTGGGCACCGAAACACCTGGAGGCAGCAGGACAAGGTGGGAACGTGTGGGAACAGAAGCCGGGCCGGGGACGGTGTTTGTGCCAGGTGAGGTGTTTGTTTCACTGCAGCTGTTCCACCGCTCCTCACGGTGTGGCTCAACACTCCCAGCTCGGGGCCAGCTGCCTGCCAGCCCGGGCACGGTGGCATTACAGACACCCACGGAGCCACTGCTGGCACCGCAGCCCCTGAGGTGCGGTGCCGAGCGAGCCTCTGCACGCCTCCACAGCGGCACGGAGACCGCAGACACCTTCATTTTCCGCCCTCATTCCAATAAGCTGCAGGCTGCATGTGGTAAAACAACGCAAACCTCTAGGACACTGAGGAGGGTGCCCGGATTGAGCGGCTGAGGTAGGGCGGGGGTGAAGGGCAGGACAGCAAGGGGGACTCGAAAGGACACCCGACGGGCATCAGGCAGCGCTGCCAGCCCCGGCGGCTTTTGGAGCGCGGCCGGGGCGCTGCACACCCACAGCCGCCCTGCGCCGCCACAGGCGGGCCCTGCCCGGCCCCCGCGGGGAGGAGACAGCGGCGGGAGGCGGCGGCGCTCCCCCAGCCCCGGCAGGCCCGGCAGCCGGGGGCGAGCGGCCGAGCGGGGCCGCGGCCCGGCGGGCGGCAGCCGCAGAGGTGAGGGGGACGTTGCCGGGGCCGGCGCGGTCCCGCTCCGCCAGCCCGAGCTCCGGCGCTGCCCGGAGTGCCGAGAGGGCCGCGGCCCGGCAGCTGCGAGAGCGGGGCCGTGTCCTCCCCCCTTACCTCCGGGGGACACAGCCGGGGAGCCGCTGTCCGCCCGGGGCTTTGGCTCGTGGGGGTGGCAGCAGCGGTGGTGAGGGGTGGTTACTGCTCCTGGCCTGCTCTGGGTGCCGCTGCAGGCCGCGGGCGGGGGCCGAGGTAACGCCCGGGCTCGGGAGCGCCCCGCGGGCAGCCAGGGCTCACCCGCTGTGTGTGACAGTGCCCAGGGCCCCGCACGGCCGTGTGTGTGCAGGGGACACAGCAGGGACACCGGTACCCGGCCTGCCCGGGGTTGCCAACAGGAGAGTGCATTCTCTAACCTGCCCCTTCTAAGGGTCCCCCTGCAACAACAGCTGGAAATTTTCAGGGAGAATGCAGCGCTGAGGTGTCCTCGAAACTGCCACAGTTAAATATGTTCAGGGCGTCTGGAATCATTTTGCCTTAATAGGCCGAGTTTTGAAGCTGTGTGGGGGGTGCTCTGGATACTGAGCACAAGGATACTCACAGAAATCAGTCTCTGTATTACCGATTTCCAGCACCCGTGGCAACAAATTGTCCATGCAGGTGATTAGAAGTGATTCTTTTACTGGTAAATTCATACCGCGATGGGTAAACATGGGGTTAATGTTACAAAGGAAGAAGGTGAGAGTCACCTGTATCTTGCTATTTGGTTTTGGGAGTTTCAGAAGAACTTGCAGGGACAAGCCCTCGACGTTTGATGTGCTTTTGTAAAAGTAATGTTTTAGGCTGAAACTTGCATTCTCTCTTTATATAAAGGAAACATTTCATTTTCAAAAAGCATCTGTATGAGTCTGTTACTAATTGCACTTTAATTTTAAGGGAAATTGGATGGCTGAGTGAGAACTGTCTGTTCAGAAGAGGTCGTGGCTGAGGATTAATAACATGTCTAAAGAAATGCAGGAACTACAGAAGCAGTGGCACTCCATGATGCAGACCATCCACAGCAATGCAAATGTGGGTCTGGATTCTAATTTTATATATTTATAAAGCTACTCCTTTTGTAACTATCAGGACATCACACCCTGATCTATTTAAATGCACTCCCTGTTTTTTAAGTGAACACTGTGAGGCCTATGGGAAGGCCTCCCACACCTTCAATCAAGAAAGAGGGAAGCCTGTTCTGCACTTTTGTGTTTTACTGGCATAACCCTTTGAGATAGTAGAATGGCATTTTAGTGAAATGGTTGTACTGCTATGAAAAGAACTAGAACTACAATACGTGTTTCCTTAAGGGAGGAAATTACTGCAGTAGAATTCTAGTGTATAGCTATGACTGCCTCTGTAAAAAGATATTTTTACTAGTAGTATTATTAAATTCTTATCATTTCTGATACAGACATGCCTGCTCTATACTTAGATTCAATAAATGAGCAGGTTGCAGATATTACTAAGCCATAGATAAAAGAATAGTTGAGTATTTTTAAATGTTGCAGATTTTAAAAATTAATAAATAGAGGTCTCTAGTTCAAAATAATGGTTGCCAAGACACCAGTGAAAGCTACAGCTAGACTGATTTATTTAATTTTTTACTTGTTTTCAGATTGGCTGCTTTTTTGTGGGTTTGTTGTTTTTTAGAATTTGTGCAATAGAACTGGGAAGTCCAAGAAAAACATTTCTGCTGTTGGTAGAATTATATTTGCCCTGAAGTTATCTAAATTTGCAGCAAGTCCCCGTGGTTTTGAAATAGAGACAAGAGATGCTCCCTATTCCAGCTGCAGACTGACAAAAGATCTGTCCTACCTGTAGTTCACTACAGTAGCAGTGATCTGTGAAAGATATCTGTGACAGGAGATTAAAAAAAAAAAAAAATCTGAAACGTTTTCCATTTATCTGCAGGTTGTTGCCTTTATGAATTCTCGAGTTGGCCAATATTTAGATGACCATCCATTTGTTGCCTTATCACTCCTGATGTTTATTGCAGTGTCAGCTATTCCTGTTGGATTTTTCCTGGTTTTTGTTGTTACAACAGCTGTAATGGCCTGTATTGGTGTGATAGTCATGGAAGGTACTGTATGCATTCATGGGTATACTTACCTATTCCCTTTTAAGGCATGTTATCTTTTCCCTTTTTAATTTTTCCTTCTGGAAGTCTGAGTCCTAGCAATTGAGGATTTCTAAGTGTAGTCCTCAGGTCTGAACAGTAGTAAAACTCTTAATACAAGAATAGTAATCCAATTAAGTGTAGACCATACAGGGGAAATCCTATTTTCCTTTCTAATCTCAGCCACCAGGATATGCCTAAACCAGTTATCTTGAGCATGCATAGCTTTTACAGAGGCTAGCCAGATGAGTGAGGAAGATGGTTTTCCCAAATTGTTTGAATTTTGGGTTATGTTAGAATGTCAGCTCTTCTATTTGTACCTAGACTTGTTTAAATAACAAAGTAATATTTTATTAGGTGTTGTCATAGCCATAGGTGGCATAGCCCTTCTGTGTGTGCTGTGTGGTCTGGGAGCCCTGTCCCTGGGAGTTTCTGGAGTGCTGAGTGTTTCCTACATTGCACTTTCAACTCTGGTCAACTACTGGTGTGCATCAAGGTGAGTATGGATGTCTTGATCCATGCTTGCATTTCAAAAGCTGCAGCTGTGCTATTACAGTCATTGTTCCATCTTTTTTTCTAAGTGAGCCACTGTTGCTTAGTTTAACAATGTTTCTTAAATGCTTTGAATCTTGGGCTACCCTCATGACTTAAAGTGCAGCATACAGCTATCTGGTCATCAATAACCACTCCATTGAGTGTTAATTCATGCCCTTTTTCCTATTTTGGACAGAGGAAATACAAATGCTCTTCAAATGTGAATGTGCTAGCACAACATGACATCAGGCAGTAAAATACAACTTCGTCTCACTCCAACGTATTGCTTTAAATGTCATTAAAATCCACTGCCAAGTAGAATTTTGTGTAGAAGATGAGCCTTTCGCAGTTTTTCCTGCATGATGACCCATCTCTGCTCACCAGCATTTGTAGAGTAAGGGAGGAAAAGCGGTTGTAGATTTGGGATAGGCAGAGAAGTACTTAAAAAGGGCAGCATGGTCAAAATAGAAATAACAAGTTTTGTAGGATACTGCACCGTGCAAGTAGCCAGTTGTGCCCCTCAGGATTTTGGGCTTGGAGGCCTATTTCAGTCAGCATTGCCTCAGCTAGGCAGCTGAGAGCAGGAGGCAGCAGCAGGCTGTGCTGCAGTGCCACCTGTGGCCCCCTGAAATACCTGCCAGGGAAAGAACCACAGTAATCACTGAGGCATAGGGAAGAACAAGAAGAAAGATCACAGCTGCTCTCTCCTGGGCTTCCTCAGTTTGCTCCTTCAGCACAGTTGTGTTTGCACAGCTCTTGATGACACACAAAGCTGCCTGAGATGGCAGCAGGGTAACAAAAGCATGGTGCAAGACCCAGTTCCAAGGCATGCTGCCAGGTCCCCAGCACTGCCCACCAGTTCCAGATTTCCACTTTCCATGACATATGTAAGTGCACAATTCAACCTACAGACCAGCCCTGTGAACTACAGCTTTGATGTTAAAACAGACAATACCATCAATTTTTATGTACCTCTGACTTTTGAGAGAAGCTTAGGTAGACCAGAAGCAGATACAAGCCTGTCTAGGACATCTCACAGTGCTCAGCTTTTTTGAGTGAAAAGTTAAAAGACAATAAAACCATTCTTTTCTCATGTGCACAGGGGCCAGATAAGGAAGCAAGATGTTAATGGAAGTTTACCACAGAAGCAGCCTGGCTTGGATCTTTCTGGCAATACTGGAAAGAGTGAATAAGCAGATTTCACCCCCTTTCATAGGCACTTAGCTGTATAATTCCAGCCTTTATTATGTAATTGTTTACTCATTTAGCATTCAGCCATTGTGTACTCCTGGAAACTGAGAAAAATCAGTGTACATCTTACACTGGCACTGTAAAAGGGAGCTTAAGAATAACCAAGAAGCAGCAGTGCAGTAGTAAGTGTATGTGCATGATGGAATGTTCCATAGAGCTTGGTAAAGGCACATAATAGTAGCTGGTACTGTTATGTCAATGGCAAGTAGGTGGACAGAAAGGGGAGGGAGATACTTGATTTCTCAGATACTGGAGTTCTGAATGTACTCTCTTTAGTATGTAGCAGTAGTCATTTTGATACAGGAGTAACAGTAGAAACATTTTGAATGTAGAAAAGTATTTGTAAGCCTTAACAACCTTTGTTAAAAATAGTATGAGTACACCAGACCAATGCTTTATGTTCATTATACAGGGAAAAGTGGGTTTGTCATAGGTCATGGTCTAAGCTTTTATCTCCCTTTAGCTGTTGTGTTATTCCAAAGGGATATTTTCCTTATTCTCATTGCCTCAGGCTTAGGTCTTAGATCTTATATTTAAATTGCCTGGTTTGCTTCTCAGTTGTAACTCTGCATGTTATTTAAAAATTTTTTTTTCATTTTTGCAAATGCTATTATATTTTTAAGCATTAAGTATCTAACTATAGTAGTTTAATAAAGTGCTCTTTGTTTAACCAGAGTGTCTTATTAATCTTTTATTCTACAGTAAAAACAATTTTTTCACGTCCTGTTTTAGGAAGGCTACATTTGGAGCTGAGTTTTTCTTCTTGAATATAGTATTTTATATGGCCAACACTGCTGAGCCACAACCTGCAGATTACTCCTTTTCTCAGGCTTATAAAGGAAATGCAGATACCCAAGTTAGTTCTATTTAGTTTTGCATAAACAAACCTGCTGCTTGACTAAAACATGGAGACCTGAGCCTACCTGAGCTGTAGTGGTGGTAATAGCTTCAGCCTTCGGCTAAGCTGGCCTCACACTTCAGCTGTAGAGCAAAACAATCCCAAGAAGATTTCCAGGAGCTCTTTATTTTAATGGCAGATTAATTCAGCCAACAGTACAAAGCCACATAACCAGCCTTCCCTCAGGCAAGGCTGCCTGCAAGAGCTTTCCAGGAGGCACCTCCAAAAACAGAGCAATAAAGCCTTTACACCTACCTAAAGTTACAACACTCAAAATCTTTACAGTACAGCTCCTAGATGAATACACAGTTGAATTCTTTCTCTTCAGTTTTCTTTATGCCCTCATCTTCTGAAGGGAAGAGGCATTACTTAATAAAAGCAGCAGACACTAAAGTAAGTTAATCCAGTCCCACTCAGAGTCTGACCCAACATGAACCATTTCCATCTGCATTTTAAATTTATTTTTCATTATGTAATTCATTCTGTCATCAGCACTTAGCAGGAGCTAAAACTGTGAATTCTCAGTTACCTGCAGATAAACTTGGAACAGTTTCACTCCTGCTGCCCTGACCTTTGCATGCTTATCAGCCTGTCATTTCAAGGCCTCTCACTGTGTCCTTTCAGCAAGAGCTGCTTTTTGCACAGTGCTATCACCAGAGCAAGGTTTTCAATTGAGAGATGCTGAAGAAAAATCTAGGTCAGCACAGAGTAGGTGTTCTACTGGAGACATTAAGGCATCCCTTAAAAGGAGGGCAGAGGTTGTTTACTTCTTTGAATTATTAAAGACTGCAATAGATCTAAGAAGTCCTTAGCAAGACAGGCTGGGGAGATGCTGCAGAGCCCCCTCATTCTCAGTTGTTCTCTCGGCTTTCTGCAGAACAGCACCAACCCCACAAGAAACCAGCAGGAGACTCCCACCCCAGTAGCACCATTCCCAGCCAGCTCAGCTCTCACAGATCTGGTTCACTGCCCCTTACTTTTGGCATAAACATGCCTTAATAGGCAGCCACTCTTATAGCCCTAAATCTTGGGGGGCCCCCAAACATCCCCTGTCTAAGGAGATTTGGGGCAACAGCTGTGGTATGGTTCCTGAAGCAGCTGTTTGAGCTCAGGCTGCAGAGTCAATGCTGCCTCCACATGCAGCAGGTTCCCTGAGTGATTCCTCTGACTTCTCTTGCAGCACCATCATCCCCACCTCACCCTGCTCTGTGTCAGAAGACAGAGACCTCTCCCTGAGTCTTTTTTACTTATGAGCTTAAGTTTTCCTGATAACAAATAGGGGACAGAGAGGCAGCAGCACACAGAGGAAGAGGGAAGGAATGCATGAGGCTGGACTCTAGGGTAAACTAGGTACAAAATAAGGAACACAATCCTGTGTTCTCCTTGATTTAAATTAATTACAAGTCTTCATTCAAATCACCCCTGCAATATTCCCAAGGAGCATTAACTGAGCCACTCGGAACTATAGCTAACCCTCCCAGAAACCAGGGACAGATCTCTCCCATGCCACATCTGAAGTCTTTCCCTAGGCAGACAATATCAGCCAGGGGCAGAAACCAGGCAAGAACAACCTTCTCTTTGACCTAGATGGCTGTCACAGTGCAAGCTCTTTGTCTCACCTCCTCAGACAGTAAAAATAGTACAAAATACAGAAGTCAGAGAGCAAAAGTAAAGCTCTCACTGCGTCCCATACTGAAGGTATCCAAGTTATTTTAAATACCTTCACTAGGGCAAGTCTGCAGATTCTTGTATGCAAGATGCATAAGAGATGTTTTAGCTTATTGGGACACTAACCAGCCTGTTTACATGTACACATGTAACATTACTGAGTAAACTCCAATCATCCTAGAGCAAAGGTTGAAACTTTTTTGAATCAGTGAGAAACAAGAAAACTTCTCTTTCTGAACACATATGAAGATCTTTTCCCCACACTTCAGAACAAGAAGGATGGAGAGAGGGAATATTAAGATTAGCCTTATTTGGGTCAGAAGAGCTAAACAGCCCATCCTGTTATGTACAACATGCTGTCAAGTACCTAAACCCTCTTCATCAAGGGCCACTTACCTGACCTTTGCAGAAATACTTTATATTCCAGCCAAGTGCTAAGTCAACAAGACTTAAGTATAGCAGGTTGTTTGCTGGACAATAGCTTAAGTAATCCTTTCAGCCTTAACACAAGGCCAATGACAGTCACTGGCTTGTAATTAAGTGGCTCCAATAGGATTCATAGTTTAATTATGTTTATATTACTATAATTGTGATTAAATACTAGCATAAGGTCAAATGATCATCTTAATCATGGTCTCTACTCCATGTTCTCTTTGCATGAAATACACGTTAATTAGAAAATGCATCCTGAAACCTATTGCATTAATAATACTCATTAATAGTGCCTAAGTGAAGTAGGGGCTGTGGCAGACAAGCCCACAGCCTGTGCTTTTTACACACAGCATGTTTGACAAGTGCCACTGACTTGATCTGAAACCCTACACAGACCACAGAGCTGGACTTGAGATGATCACTCTTCCCTGCTCACAAAAAGGTGCCAGACAGTGTTTAACCTAAGGCTGTCACACTCCTACTGCAACAAAGCACTTGCACTCTGCATGCAGCTATATTTTATGACTCATTTTCTTGACTATGCAAGGCAAGGTGTACAAAATACAAAATCAGAACTGCATAAAAAGTGCCTCACCTCAGGTGGGCAGCATTACATCTACAGACAGTGCTGTCAGTACTGCAGACAAAATAGCTTTAGCTGTACTTGGACCTTTTTTCCTCCACCCAGTTTGAGACCCCAAATTGCATACTCCTAGCCCCCCTATTAAGTGGCCAATGGAACTTCCAGCCATCAGAAGATCAGCTCTGGCAGCAGGAAGTCTGTTCCACTTTTTTTTTAAGGGAGGCTTCACTGTGTATCTCCTTCAAAGACCTTTTGTAATGATCTGATCCCCAAAAGGACAAAGATTGATTTTTATTTTTTTTACGGTTTTAGCACAAGTGCTGGGTGTTGCTAAACAATTTCAGTAAAGCCAGGTTTTAATTTCCAGGTACAGTGCAGGGCTTATGTTACAAGAACAGCTGGAGGAGCTACTCATACTGGCACAACATGAATTTTTAAGAACCCAGTTAAATGGAATCACAATTTTGAACTGTGATAAGCAATTCAAGAAAGGAAATTGGCTGCAGAGTCCAACAGGAACTTAGCATAGCAATGGTCTGTTTCAGAACAAAGACACTCAGGAAATTAAGTATTATAGTCATTGTTAAAGATGAATCTACAATAAGGACACATTCAGAGGATGAATAGTGTTGATTTGCATAACTAGATGCAGGAGAGGGAATACATGACAGACATAATTCATCAAGTGACTACCCCAAGTTTATTTGGAAATGCACACTAATGTACCACATTTACCATGTATGCTCTTCTCTTTAGGCATTTAAGAAAAGCCAAAAATAGTAGCATTGTGGCCAGAGAGAGAACACCAGTCATTGCAATGGCAGCCCATGCCTCCTTGCTCAGGAGAGTGCTCCCTGCAAAGCAAAGGGAAAGGCAGTTTGTTTGTGGAGACAGATCCTCCCTAAGCCCAAGCAGCACCCCCCAGCCCCACACTGGCTCAGTACCTTGGGCTGCAGGCCACTCTTCTGGCACAAGGAGGACAGGGCCCCCCAGGCTCACCACTGCAGAGTTCACAGCTGCCATCCCACTTTCTACAACAGAAACACGGTACAGTTGAACCCACTGCACTGTGGGGTTATCTTGGATCAGTGCAACCTAAAAATCCACTCAGACGTTACCTCGCTTGCTTCTAGACAGCCTTGGGCATCTTGGTATGCACAATGGGGAGTCTGGGTGAAAACGGTGACAGATCAGAACACTGCAGTGGAAGTACACCTGGGACAGAGAATGAGAGGAATGAGATATCCATTCACTTTGAAACAATTGCTCCAAGTCCAATGTCACCTACCAGGCCAGGAAGGGCTTTGTCACCAGAGACAAAGGCAAAAGTCTTCACTTCCAGCCTTTGGCGATAGTTAGCATAGCTGACACCACGTCCCACAGGGTGAAACACAGTCCTATAGCTGTCTAGGTCATACTCACAGCTGCCAATAAATAAAAACAAAGTTAGAACATCAGAGAAGGTTTGGGTGGTTGGTGTTAATGCCTTTAAGCAGAAGACTCAAGGTTATTTGAGGTACTATCTTCTTCCTACAATTCCTACTAACTCCAGCATCCCAGGGCAGTTCTTAGAAGGCCCTCATACTTAAGGTCACTTACTAAAGGGGGAGCAGGGGACACTTAGGGACTCCTCCCACCCACTGCAAAAGGTGCTTTCATCTGTATGGCAGGGCACTCACCCATCAACAACAATATTCCACTGGGGCAGGGATCTTGGATCCTGTGAGGCTGTTGCCCAGCAGTCATCCAGTACCAAGTGGAGGTTGGGGTCGTTGCGGTTCAGGACCTGCACCTCCAGGAAGATGGGCTGGCGCAGGTACCTCACTATGGGATACTGATCCTCACGGTATGGCTGCCTGAATGTGTCCTCTGAAAGAGCCAAAGTCACTTATGGTAAATAACTCAGGGTGCAAAAAGGGTATCAAGCTCTTCAACAGCAGCTCATTGGACAACTATTGTACGTCCAAGGGCCACAGATTTGAGGGATGTGCTTCAAGCAGCATGGATGAGCAGGAAGGAAGCACACCACCACTATAGAAATCTGTACAACCAGAACAGTCCACTCATCCACCCTCTCCTCCACAAGCTCCAG